ATTTTTTAAGAGCTTTTCACTGCAGCAAAAAAAGTTAAATGTGACATTTTCTGAAAGTTTTTTACTGTAAAAACTTAAAACTGAAAACTCGAATCTGTGAAATGAACGAGACCTTAAACTTTAAATCAAAACCATCATAACTAAACACAAATTCTAAATGAGTTAAATTAAAACAACTTTTTACTTTTTAAAAATAAACACTAATTCTTAATCAGAATCATAATTCTGGATTCATAATTTTTACGCCAAACAACACCTTAGTCGTTGAGCTTAATGAGCAAAGCCATGTGATCCCTTGACGGAGTGGGCCCCACACAAAGCTTACCCGGATGTCAGCCTTCTGACCTCACATCCCACCTGGCGGTACTTGCAAATTGTACATTACACAATAAATCCCCACTCTTCTTTAAATAGAACACCCCCACAAACCTCCTAGTTCCAACACTTCCTCATAACAAAGTGATGAGAGAAGTTCTACCTTGTACCAATTCCCAAAAAAAAAAAAAATTTAATTAATTTCAGAGTCAATTTTTAAACAATTTGCTCAAATGGGTATTCGCTTGCCATCAACAATTCAGAATTTAAAGCAAGTTCTGAAGCTCCAGTCTCTCCCCAGCACTAGACACCACTCGGATGTCCCTAAAGGCCACATTGCAGTTTATGTGGGGGAGTTTCAGAAGAAGAGATTTGTGGTTCCGATAGCTTTCTTGAACCACCCTTCGTTTAGGGAGCTGCTAAAGAGGGCTGAGGAAGAGTTTGGTTTCAACCACCCAATGGGGGGTTTGACCATCCCATGCAGAGAAGACACCTTTATTCATCTCACTTCTCAGTTGAATATTTCTTCATGAAATTGAAGATCAAAAAGACTTGAATATTTTTTTTGTTTAATTATTTTATTTATATCCTCCTATGTACTAGTAGTAGACTGGAGTGGTTACAGGAAATCCATGTACAGTAGATTGCCCATCTTGTAACTATTGTTAGGCGAGGAAATTATGGGAAATGAATTACAAAATTTCTCTCTTTTTGAATCAAAATAACTCTTGCCCATCACTTCTTTAACTTGCTTGTGGTGATTTCATTCGTTCTACGCATGCAAGGAAATATGAATCAAGTATGTTTGGATTTTTAGTTCGCAATATATTGGCAACGCGTAAAAAATTCAAAAACAGGTTGAAGACCCAGAGATGCCGTTTTGAAGATTAACTTGTGGAAGAAAATCGCAGATATTCCGGATTTTGTGTGGAAAATTCGAATTGGTGATAATCTGCTATTTGTTCAAAATCTGAGGAATAAGGATATGTACCGGATTACAATGGAGCTTTGGAATTTGAATGGCTTATATATATTCATTCACGTGAGCTACACAAAGACGATTAAGTTTGAGCTGCATAAATGATCGGAACTTTCAAGTAGTCAAAGGAAATCCAAATATGGCTTGCTGTAATAGAAGATAAGGCATTGGAGATTTGAAGTTTAAAGTTGCTGCCGTCGAAGATCAAGAGGCTATTTATTCGGATTTGGAGAATCATGCTGTGAGTTGGAGTAAGTTTAAAAATTTTGAATTAAAGCACTTGTCATCGTGGAAGACCGAGGGAGCCCTTAAGTTTAGCGATTTAAGTTTTTAATTTGAGTTGAACAAGATTGTGGATTTAGAATTATGCTGCAGAATCAAACATAATTAATGAGATTATTTGTTTTAAGGGTTCTATTTGATTTAAGATCATAGTTCTTCATTTTGTTATAGTATTTTTTTTTATAAAAAATTTAAAATTTAAAAATTAGAATAATGAATTATGGTTTTAAATTTATGAACCAAACGTCACTAATTTAGCGTAAGATTTTATTTCGGGAGAAAATCATAAAAATTTTATTTTGAGAGAAAATTGTGAAGATTTTATTTTGAGAAAAATCGTTAAAGATTTTGTGAACATTTTCTTATTGAGTTACTTTGAAAGGAGATTATGTAAAAATATTGTGCAATTTCATCATAGAGATAAAGTGCAAGATGTTGTTGAGAGAGAATCAAAGAGATAAAGTGCAAGATGTTGCAGAGCGCTTCCTCTTGAGAAGATTCTCGAGAGGCCTTAGTTGTTATTTTTAAAGGTCTCATTTCTACTCATTAAATGTACGAATTTAATAGAGAAAAATATTCAAAAGATTGTTTGTGAGTGTGTGAGCATATTGAAGTATTCACCGTCTTTTGGGAGAGAGATTTGAAGCTTTCAGGAGGAAGCGCTCTGCAAGTTGAAGGGAGTTTGCCGAGCAGATAAAAGACGTGCGGTGCACGCTAAACAATCACTGTAAAAATTCGTCATGACGATGTCATTGTCTAGGAGGAAGTATTGAGTGAATAAGTTTGTCGGTGTCTGTAAATATTTAGAATATAGTGAACTGTTTATTGTTTAGACGTGACCCCGTAAATGTAGGTGTCCGTACCGAACTGCGATATCATATTGTGTGTTCATTTACTTTCTACATTTTATTCTGCCAGAGTAACTAACTGTATTTAATCCAGAACTTGATTAATCAACCAGTGTTCCATTCAGTGTTCCAACACTATCTGTGACACCTGACATAAAATCAGATCTAACAAAGTATATTGGCCTTTAATTCAAAAGATTTGAATTATCACATGCTACTATTTTTCTTTAATCGGACTGGAGAATTTGAACTCTGAATTTCAACATTCGAGGCATGAATATGAATTTACTGATAAATTATACCTACAACCGCTATAATAATATAAGTTGTTTTTTTTTTTTTTGGCTAGTTGCAATGGTACTAAGGTCTTATTCAGTTCGCTAATTTGATAAGTATGTGCCATTGATAAAAAGTTTCATGTTAAGATTATAATTACATTCGTAAAACTGGAAAACCGTGTGTTTTTTTTTTTTGAAAATGAAAACGAAAACGTTTTTAATTTTGGACAAAAATCATTTTTAAAAATACTTTTGTAGTTTTATTAAGAGATTATTTTTAATATAAAAAAATTTATTAATGTCTTTTTTTCTATTCGAGAGATGAAAAAATAAAAATAAAATTTTTTTTCTTTTTTATTTTATACTAAATTAAAAAATTATTTTTATTTTTATTTTTTATTTTTATTATGTTAAACACTGTTTTAAAAATATTTTTTTTTCAAAAAAACATAAAAAATAAAAACATGATCAATTCTAAACAGAGCCCATAATTTTGAAGAAGGATTTTGGATATCGATGTTGTCTTACTTTCAGGTTCTGTTTGTTTCACCGATTTAAGTTTAAAATTTGAGTTTTGTTATAGTAAAAAATTCTCATAAATAATCACATTTAATTTTTTTAATACAATAAAAAAATTTTATATAAAATTATATCTCAATTTAAATTAATGAATTAAATGACCCGATTAAATGGACTCAGTGAAGGGCAACGTTTTCTTTCTCAACGCTGTATTTCTTGTAGAGTGTACTTGAGACAAGAGAGACAATATTGAACAAGTAAACTGCGAGTTTCACGCTTACCGATACGTTAAATCAAGACCAAAATGTGGGCTACAGATCCAACTCATAGGCTTGGAAAAAGCACCCAAATTGAAACACTTTCTATCAGTCAGCTCTCTCGCCACACACCCCATTTATTGTTCTGACAATGACAAGATGTATTTGGTGGCCTATCTTATTAACTTCACTCAAAAATTAAAGAAATATTTATTTTTTATATTCATTTTAATTTTAAATCATAATTTATAATTTTTTATAATATTTTTTTTATAAAAAATACACATAAAATAAAAATAGTCTTAAATTATGATTTTAAATACATAAATTAAACATCTAATTTTTTTTCTAAAAACCTACCAATCCCATTGATAAGTGTATTCTTTCAGTAAGAGAACCGTAGATAATTAACGAAGCCATGTAATATTTAAGTCTGTTTACCGTATAAATTTAAGTTTTTAATTTAAGTTTAGATATGTTGTAATAAAAAAAATTAAATGTGATATTTTTTAAAAAATTTTAACAATTAAATTGAAAATTCAAATCGGTAAGATAAATAAGACTTTAATTCATGCCTTCTGGTTTGGATAATAGACAGTTATATTCAGTCTTTCGTTCAAAAGAATTATGTAGTAGCATAAGAAAAAATAAGAAAAAAAAGTGTAAACTTATAAAAATATGGATAAATATAGATCACATTTATTTCACTAATTTAAATTTTTAATTTTAATTTTATTACTGTTAAAAACTCTCATAAAAAATCACATTTTTTTTATTACAAAAAAAATTCTCATATAAAATTACATATCAATTTAAATTGAAAATTCGAATCCGTAAACTGAAAGAGACCATAAAGTATTTAGCATAATATTTATGCTCAAATAGGATTTATACATTGCATATCACGAAAAAAAAATTACAGAGATAGTCAAATGGTAAAATCTCTCTTTGCTAAGATGCATTTGGATTTCGTTAATTTATCGTAATTCCAATGGTTTAGATTTGTTTCTTAAAGAAATTCTCCTTTCATTTATTTTCATGTTTTAAATGTCAAAGAGAGATCAATAATGGGGAGATAATTGGACATAGCACTGGTTTTCTATCCAACAGCTTCTGCTCTGCGCTGAACATTGCGTTGTTTCTTTTCACGGTCGGAGCTCGCAGCATCTTCATATTGCGTTTGTTTCTTTGCATCAACATCGTCACATGGATTTGTTTGCTTTTCTGATTATGATTTGACCCTTCTTTAAAGCAGCCTCGGGTCTTTAAGTGCATAATTTCGGTGGATGTGAGAAGAACGTGTGGGTAGTCAGGTTTCCGTACGGATATGTACTCTGTTGTCCGTTAAAGGAAGAGTTTTATTGGATCTCACTCCTAAAGTGGGCATCTCTATTATTGTTAGTTCTGGCCTCTAGGCAGCTCATCAATGACTTATTTTAATTAAAATTCGTAATTCAGTTTATAATTTAAATTTTATTATAGTAAAAAAAATTTATATAAAATCACGTCATAATTTAAATTAAAAATTTAAATTAATAAACTATATAAATCCTAAATATGTAAATATTCAGTAATGTAACTCTTTTCTTACCAATTTAGTACAAAAAAATCTCTTTTTGAAATCTTGTCACATCTTAGAGTCGCGTTCTTTTTATAAATTTGAATTATAATTCAACTCTTAAGTTTCGTTCATTTCACCGATTCGAGTTTTCAGTTTTAAGTTTCTACAGTAAAAAATTCTCAAAAAATATCACATCTAACTTTTTCTGCTACAGTGAAAAACTTTTAGAAAATATCACATCTCAACTCAAATTAAAAACTCAAATCCGCGAAGTGAACGAGCCCTTAGTATAAAATTTGAGTTTTAATTCAAGTTTTATCGCTCAACCCTATGAAAAGAGCACCCATTTTCAACTGGATTGGATTGTTATACACGAATCATGGATTTCTTTAACAGACAGAGAATTCCTTATTGCATTTTCTACTTAAATTCCAAATAAAATACGCGTGAGAGAGTATTATTAATATCTTGATATAACCCTAATAACTATTTACCTGCATGATGTTATTGAAAAGGACAATCACTGTAGCTTCAGGAGACAAGAAACATTTGAAAAATGAAACTACGCTTATGCCGCTCCATGGATCTCTCCTCTATGCATGAATTGGCTTTGAGATCCAACGTTTCTATCAACTTCATCTTTTCTTGGCTCACTTTACCACAAGTCTAACTATGAGACTTTTAAAAGGAAACTCCAAGAATTGCGGTAGAAAGTTAGGCTTGTGACGGGAATGCGCAAGGAAGAGCATTTGATAAAACTAATTAGAGAATTGGCTGAAGTTTTAGGATGTTTGCAAAGCAAAATCACCTCTCCCTCAGT